GAGAATATGCAGGGAGGTAAAGAGTTTGGGGGTCAAGGATAATTTCTACCTCGCGCAGCAGAATGGGATGAAGTGTACTAAGGTACAAACAAGGGGAACAGGTTCATAGATGTGTGAAGATAAAGACTTTGTGTTGTTTATGGGATGTTGAAGTGGAGATACCCAGATGCAACCTGGGCAAATACAGAGCTTTTGAATGGAGCTATAAAACATTCTAGGAATTATCAGTAAATGTAGTAGTGTGATTGGGCCAAGATTGAAAATATTTATCTAAGAGGAGATTGTGTGCACAAATACAGCAATCGACAAGATGAGGCCCAGAACTGGGCATAGGAACTCCTTCCCCACTTTGGTGCCCAGCTGTTGGTGGTCGTTGAAGGACTGCGTACTTCAGAAACACTGAAGGCAGCAGCCTTGGCTGGGATGCTGGCTTTTTTGTGATGGATCCTGCTAGTAGAGCTCAGGATGAACTCACCCCAAACTGCTTCATCAGTAGAATCTTTGACAACTAGTAGGGAAGGCTGAAGGGCATGAGTTTATTCAATTCCTATTCTAGATTAGTTGGTTCATGAGAATATGGGAGGTGGTTTGAGGTACAGCTTGAACACTTGAGAGCCATCACAACAAGGTAAGGCCATAGAAGAAAGACCCAATTAGGATTTTTGGTAAAAGCTGACTTCTGAATCTGGAGGGGATGATGAGATTGAAAAAGAGAAATAGGATGGTAAGAATAATCAGGAGGCTGGGCTAGAGTGAGAGAGAATTTCCGGGATGGTGTCTACGGTATTCATATCTTAAAGAGGTGAATGAACAGGGGAAATGATAAAGCGAATGCCATATTCATCATCATATGGCAGTAAGAGCATCTCTGTCATTTCTCTGGATTGTTAAAATAATGATTTAATTAATTAATTGATTAATTATTATATTTTAAATTTGACCAGTGAGAGACAAAGTGAAAAGGCAAGCCACCAGGTCGGGACTCAAACAGTGCTTGGCTATGTGGGAGCCCATCACCTTAACCACCAGTCCACCTGCCAGCCTCCAAATCAGTCTTTCTAAAACTCAGTGTGCATTCAAGATGATGGCCTAGGTTCCACTCCAGCCGTGCCCAGGCTGACTGCAGCAACACCGAAAAAGTTGTCTGCCTTCAGACAATTCAA